AAGCAAAAGTGTAGTGTAAAAAAAACACAGTACAGGGTCTTTGACAAGTCCTTTAATAAAACAATGTCCCCTGAAGTAGATCCAACGTCAATCACGGCAACCCAAAAAAAGAAAACAAAAAAAGCTCCGCTCTTGACCAAGGCAAGGTGCTTTGGGGGGGATGCCCCCCTGCCCCAAAGCACCCCCTCCATGTTGAGTTCATGTGGCCTGGTATGGTTCGGGGGGGGGGGGGTGCTCGCTCGTCCTCGTCCCCCCTTTCCTGACCTGCTGGGCTGCATGCTCGGATAAGGGTCATGTATGGATTTTGGGGGGGACTCCACACTGTTTTTTTTTTTTTTTTTAATTTCGGCGTGGAGTTACCCCTTAATATCCATACCAGACCTGAAGGGTCCTTCGAAATAAGTAAAATCATTACAGAAATAATTATAAAGGATAAGAAACAAAAATAGAATCAATAGAACTAAGGAAATCAAATTAGAATACATAAAGATATGCCTAGTGCTGTTTGTTAAACACAGTAGACGTGACCGAGTGCCGTCTGTCAGAGGACTCCACACAGAGATTTACTATTGAACAGCGGCTAAAAAGCAAGCGCCCACAGAGGACGTCTAAAATGTGTTCTGCACATACGCATTTATATCGGCCAAATACGCTGCACAAGCGTCTAGTTCTTCACTTAACACATTTTACATTTTTTTGGAAATGGCAGATATTGTTTAAGTGAAGTCCTGATATTGGGCAAAGCACATTTCAATGTGAACATGTTTCTGCAGTGATTTTTCATGGTGTTAAGACGTGCCTCTTCGCAAGTTTGCTTTTTGAGTCTGATTCCTGGTCTGTGTCTCGTTAGTAAATTTGATTTGGCGTCTACTTGTTGACACTTCTCTTTAGTAAATCTCTTAGTGGAGTAAAAAGTAGACGGTCGCTAGTAAAAAGTAGATGTTCGCCCATGGAAATGCGCCTAGGCACAATAGTAAATCAGGGACTTTGTAACAGGGACGGACTGATAACTCATGAGGCCCCCGGGTAATAGGGGATCATGGGACCCCTGTGTCCTTTCCCAAACTCAAAAAAGCCTATGAAAAAGGTACCAGGGGCATCTCATGGGGCTGAATGCTCATACTGGACTGTGCCATCCCATTGGTTACTCCTCAGACCTTCTCACTGGTCATAGCATTTCTGTCAACACCCTCCTCAAGGACCAGAAAATAGGGGCTGTATCAGTAGTCTAGAGCTCACTTTTACTATCAAAGAACATCAGACAAAATCTATGAGAGCTACTGATCCATCTTGTCTATGGACTAAAGGATGTTAAGTACTTTCATTTTTAAAACCTTTTTGTTGTTCTATTACATTACTGTCTCTCTTCCCTGTGTAATACGCTTTTTATTATTTATTTGCACCATGTTACCTTTTCTATTATTAAATAGTGTTTTGAAAAGTGTTAATATTGACTCTAATACACTTACGCAGACCTTAAATAATCCCTGTCTCTGAATATACCTGTCTTTAGTGACAGTGTGTGTTACGGACATATTTTAAGTCATAATTGTTAGTGTGAACATTTGATATTTTATGATAGATAAAAAATATCTGGTGTGATTTGAGATATAAAAAGTTAATTTCTTAGTTAACCAAATCCAGCGTGATCACTCTCAATCTACTGGCACTTGATTATAGTCCCATGAGCTGAAAAATCTTTATGCAGGGTGGGCTGGGAGTTTCATTGTCACGTACCAGTGACAGCGTGGTGTGTGCGTTTGAGCAGCCATTTTTCCCAAGTTGGTGAAGGTGGTCAGGATCTGACGCCATGTCCATCACAGGGGGAGCTTTTTTTTTTTTCTTTTTTTTTTTTTAATTTCTGTCTTCACTTTTTAATTTTTGTTAATTTAACTTTATTACTAAGACTAGGAGGCTACCATAACCCCTTGTGATAACTTTGGGCAGGTGTCAGGTACCCCTTATGGAAACCCCTGATGTCTCCCCTACCCACCACAGCAGGTAATCAAGCACAGATCATGCTAGGTCAGCTGCTTCCCTGACTGTAACAGCCAGGGAATGACAGCTCTCAAGTCAGATGTGATAAAATCATCGTCACAGGGTTCATTTATCACAGAGGAGATGAGGAAACAGACGTTCCTCCATCTCCTCTGTGGGAAGCCATGACAGCCTCTTACTGCATTCTCACCTTCTCAGAGGAATGGGGAGAGGGGAGAAGTCTTTTACAGCCCTGTAAATGTTGTCACTTGTACAAAACAGCCAATTGCTGGTTGGAACATGATCTTGGTATAACCATTTGCTGACAGGACATTTTTATCTGTACATCAGCCAACAGGTGGGTAATAACCCCCAGAAACTCCTCTCATCCAGCACTTACTGATCTCCTGTTGATGTCCCAGGTCTCCATTATTGTTGACCCTGGGCAACTGTGATGTGTGGCAAGCACCTCAAAATCTCCCGGATGGAAATGTACTGAGGAGCACCGGATATGAAGGTTATTCTCACCTGAAAAAACGTTTTGAAACATTTATTGGTTTAGAGCAGGGGTCTCCAAACTTTTAAAACAAAGGGCCAGTTTACTATCCTTCAGATTTTAGGGGGGCAGATTGTAGACAGTGGGCATAGAAAATGTCCAGGGCAAGGCATCAGTGAGGGCCTCAAGGTTGGCAGTCAGTAGGAGGAGGAATAGTGCCCCATCATTGGTATCAGTGGGAGGTTATAGTGCCCCATCATTGGTATCAGTGGGAGGAATAGTACCCCATCATTGGTATCAGTGGGAGGAATAGTACCCCATCATTGGTGTCAGTGGGAGAAATAGTGCCCCATTATTGGTGTCAGTGGGAAGAATAGTGCCCAAAGGCTAGATAAAGGCTAGCAAGGGGCTGCATCCTGCCCTAGCGCAGCAGTTTTGAGACCACTGGTTTAGAGCATCATATACATCTAACACATTTTTTTTGGAGAAAGAGCCTCCCACTGTGGACACTAAAAAACAACCTACTGCCTTTAGTGCTATCAGGAGACATTAGTCTTCATCAAGCCATAAAAAAGGTCCCCATGTGCAGGGTAGGCATCCTTTGAGAGGTGATCTACCTGAACAACATGAAAGAGATAAAAGATCACCAGGGTTCTGTGCCTTTTTTTTTTTTTAAAGGGCCTATTTACACTCTGTGCAGTTACTTGCATTTTTCCTAATGGATAAACAAAGGTAACTAAAATGGAAAAAACAAGAGTTTTCTGTATGTCATGCTCACAGCAGAACACTGTGTTTCTCTGTGTTTGAGAGATGTTTGATATTATGCAACATGTTTGCATAATATTGCACCTCACTGGATGTTTCTGCACGTCATTGCACATGTTGCTGAGGTATGCAGCAAAATAAAAGTTGCCACAAAAAAAAGGGAACTGGTTGATGCTCAAATGTGCATCACACCACATCACACTGCCTCCTACTGACAAATCACTGCAACCAAAACAGACATCTGCCTGCACACTAAGCCGCTGTGAATGGGCCCCCATTTGAAGACCAAACTTTTTCTAGGATGTCTTGTTTACAAGTTTAAATCAGTATTTTTTGCTGGAAAATTACTTAGAACCCCCAAACATTATATATATATATATATATATATATATAGTGAGGGATTAGCCCAGTAGCGGGTTATGCTTGACCCCCTGGAAGAGTCAGAGCACGTTGAAAGAGGCTTGAAAGCTCATGATAGCAGGATCATGGTGAATAAAGCTGTGCTTTATTTACAAGTCTGGTGAACACACAGTGCATATATTCAAAAACAGCAAAACAAATACAAACAGAAAATAAAGCCTTGCCACACTGGGCATCTAACTGCAAACACAGGTTCCTATCTACCTGTCTAGTTACAGCCTATAGCTGCTCAGAGACGGGGGGGGGGGGGGGGGGGGGGTTCACACAGAGCGTCTTCCAGTCCAAAATCACAGTCTGTCCTCTACAGCAAACTGGTTCCAGGTTGGAGCATGCTCACTAAGCAGCCTGGGAGTTTTATAGAGCCCGGAGCCCTTAACTCACAACAGCTGAGCTCATGAAATCATCAGTGAGCCAAACAGGCTCACTACACAGAACAAAAGGAGAAACAGTCGGTGTAGAGCAAGAACCTGGGACAAATATACCTCCCATCCTGGACACATCCCTTAGTTCTTCCTGCCTCCCTGTCACAATATATATTTATTTTTGAAAGATATATATATATAAAACTTTATTTTAGCAAAGACCCTAGAGAATGAGATGGCAATTGTTCCAATTTTTTATGGCATAGGGTATTTGTGCAGCGGATTTTTAAACGCACTTTTTTTTTAAAAATACACTTTAGTGAATTAAAAAAAACCAAAACACAATAGATACCCCAATTTTTTGTAAAATATGAAAGAGGATGTTATGGAGAGAAAATAGAAATCTAACATGTGACCCTAAAATTTGGCACACTTGTGGAATGGCGACTTTAAACATTTTTACAGGTTACCTGTTTAGAGTTACAGAGGAGGTCTAGCACCAGAATTATTGCTCTTGCTCTAATGTTTGCAACAATACCTCACAAGTGTGCTGTGAACGCAGTTACTTCTGGAACACTTTAAAAAAAAAATTTCTTCTTTTTTTGAAATTTTACTCTGTCCCTTTAACCGCCTCCCACCCACCATATAAGGTAATGACGGGCGCAAGGTGGTTCTCTCGTTCTGGGAGGACGTCATATGACGTCCTCCCACTCTAACCGCGTATGCATGACTTCAGGGGTGCGGCAATCAGTGGTGCACTGTGTCCCTCGGACACAGCAGATCACTGATCAATGGAAAGAGCCGAAGAGGTCGGCTCGGTCATGGGATCAGCTGTGTCCAATCACAGCTGATCTCATGTAAATAGGGAAACGCCAGTTATCGGCATTTCTCTCCTCACGAGCTGTCACACTGACAGCTCGAGAGGATAGGAGAGCTGTAAATCGGCATTACTCAGAGGGGACATGTACATTGATCATCAGGGCACCGATGATCAGTGTAGCCCAAGCAATGCCAGCTGTTAGTGCTCATCAATGCCACCTGCCAGTGCCCATCAGTGCCACACCAATGCCACATATCAGTGCCTACCAGTGCACATCAATGCCAGTCAGTGCCGCCTATCAGTGCTGCCAAATCAGTGCTGCCTATCAGTGCCAGTCAGTGCCACTTATCAGTGTGCATCAGTGCCGCCTATCAGTGCCCGTCAGTGCTGCCTATCAGTGCCGCCTAACAGTGCCAGTCAGTACTGCCTATCAGTGCCGCCTCTCAGTGTCATATATAAGTGCTGCCTTTCAGTGCCCATCAGTGATGCCTTTCAGTGCCCATCAGTGCCACCTATCAGTGCCCATCACTGCAGCCTTACTAGCGCACAACAGTGAAGGAAAAAAATCACTTATTTACAAAATTTTATAACAAAAACTAAGAAAGAACTTTTTTTTTCAAAATTTTCAGTTGTTTTTGGTTTGGTTAGCAAAAAATAAAAAACCCAAAGGTGATTAAATAGCACCAAAAGAAAGCTCTATCTGTCTCAAAAAATGATGAAAATTTAATATGGGTACAGTGTTGCATGACCGCCCAAGTGTCATTCAAAATGTGACAGGGCTGAAAACTGAAAATTGGCCTAGGCAGGAAGGGGGTATAAGTGCCCTGTAGGCAAGTGTTCAATTTACCTTTACATTTAAAAGCAAAAAATACAAAAAAATTTGTTTTGAACTTTTGTTTAAAAAAGTAAAAAAAATGTATTTACTTCCTACACCAACTGGACGTGATGTGATGCTGCTGCTCTGGTCCTCCATCATTATAGAGGCAATCAAAGACCATAGAATCTTTTATTGCCACCATCTTGACAAGGCCGCACCTTTGGATCATTTCTCGGGCCAGCAGGCGTTAAACGGCAGTGAGCAACACAAAGGGGGGCTGCTCAAGAGCCGCTAGGACTGCTTTCATCAGGAAGCCGGCCGTTCACTGAATAAAATAATACCAGGGTTATGGATGATTTCTTCAGTCATAACCCCCTAAACCACTTGAAAACCACAACGTTTATGTATGTATTGCGGTCTTCAAGTGGTTAAGGAAGTTAACTAGAAAGGCCCCGATGGTAAGGATGGCATGAAAAAAACTTAGAAAAATACAGTTAGGCACAATTTTATTTTTTATTTCAGGCATTTACCAAAACATATTCAAGCTATACTTTTATAATGGATATTGGCTGAAAGTGCACACTCTCAGGTTTAATTTGAGGGTATGTACATCCAAATTGAAGGAAGGGTTTAGGAATTTCAGCTCTTAAGATTAGCCCATCCCCCCTTTTTCAAGAGACCAAAAGTAATTGGACAATTGAATCAAAATCGGTTTCATGGCCAGGTGTGGGCTACTCCATCATTTCTTCATCAATTAAGCAGGTAAAAGGTCTGGAGTTGATTCTAAGTGTGGTATTTGCATTTGGAATCTATTGCTGTGAACCTACATCATGCGTTCAAAGGAGCTATCCATGCAAGTGAAAGAGGCCATTGTAAGGCTTCAAAAACTAAACAAATCCATCGGAGAGATAGCAGCAACATTAGGAGGGGCCAAATCAACAGTTCGATACATTCTGAGGAAAGTAAAACGCACTGGTGAGCTCAGCAACATAAAAAGACACGGACATCCACGGAAGACAACAGTGATGGATGATCGCAGGATCCTCTCTATGGTAAAGAAAAACCCACTCACAACATCCAGACAAGTGAAGGACACTCTCCAGGAGGTGGGCGTATTTAGCGCAGCCATCCAGTCACAGCCATCCAGAGCAGTGTGCTTACAGTGAAGCACCAACACACCGCCCGCCAGTAAAACACTCCCAGCACACAGTTAACCCTTTGATCACCCCTCATGTTAAAATATTCACATTTTGTTGCTTTGCAGCCTGAAATGGAGACAGACACAGGTTTTGTTTTATGCAGTTGTATTTACTCACTAAAATTTATAACATCCAAATGAAAGATCTAACACCAACATATCAGAAAAAAAAAATAAATAAAAATACAGAATTACTGAGTTGGAAAAAGGATCACCCCCCTCCTAAAATGACTTGTAAACTCAATCAAGTGTAGCTAATCACCTTCTCAATGGCACACAGAGCCATTTGAATTTCGGCAGTGACCAGCGGTGGTCATTTGGATAGCTCAGCTTTCCTGGAGCATTTTACTCCCTGATAATGAAACTGAAGAAAACAATCAACCATGGGTGGCAAGGCACTGTCAAAGATCTCCAGGATAAAGTTGTGAATAGGCACAGGCCAGGAGATGCATACAAAAAAATGTCAAAGGTTTTATCAATGCCTAGAAGCATAGTGAATTCTATTATTAAGAAGTTCAAGGTATTTGGTACAGCACAGACCCTCCCTGGATCCAAACGTCATTCCAAACTGGATGAAAAAGCCAGAAGGAAACTGGTCAGAGAGCCTACCAAGAGGCTTAAAGCAATGCTGAGGCAGTTACAGGAACTTATGACAAAGAGTGGTCATTGTATGCATGTGACAATACCACAAATTCTCCACAAATGTAGCTTGTATGGAAGGGTTGCAAGAAAAAAAGCCATTCCTCAAGAAAGGCCACATGCAGACATGAATGAGCTATGCCAATACGCACCGAGAAGATTCTGAGACAACATAGAAAAAGGTGTTATTGTCAGATGAATCTAAAATTGAATTATTTGGCCTCAACACTAAACGGTATGTCTAGTGGAAATCTAAATACAGCTCACCATCCAAATAACACTATTCCTACAGTAAAGCATGGAGGTGGTAATATCCTGTTATGGGGGTGTATCTCTGCAGCAGGGACTGGAACACTTGTCAGGATAGAAGGAAAAATGGATGGGGCAAAATACCATCAATATCTTGAGGAAAATCTGCTGCCCTCTGCCAGAAAGTTGTCAATGGGAAGAAGGTTTACCTTCCAACATGACAATGACTCAAAGCACACAGCAAACATGACCACACAGTGGTGGAAGGAATAAAAGGTGAATATCCTTGCATGGTCTAGTCAGAGCCCAGACGTAAACCCCATTGAAAATCTGTGGAATGACTTGAAGACTGCAGTCCACAAACAGTTACCATCAAATTTAACTAAACTTAGCAGTTTTGCAAAGAAGAGCGGGCAAATATGGCAAAGTCTAGGTGCAATAGGAAGAAGGGTCAGCCGCACACCAGAGGATAGATAAATATAGTGCATATTTATTGATCCATAGGACACACAAAACACCAGGACATGAATACAGGACTTGTTAATGCATTTCACACGATCTTGTGCTTAATTTTGTGTTTATGATTAAGCACGAGATCGTGTGAAACGCGTTAACAAGTCCTGTATTCATGTCCTGGTGTTTTGTGTGTCCTTTGGATCAATAAATACACACTATATTCATCTATCCTCTGGTGTGTGGCTGACCCTTCTTCCTATTGCATCGTGTGTGGTGGCCAAAAATTGGTGGCAAAAATGATGCACTGAGTGAGCTTCTGTAGGTCAGTCACTTCTACCAAGCTTCCAACCTTTAGTACATGGGTTAAATGAATAAACCATGCACTAATGTACTAAGCAGATCCCACTTGCTGCCACCAAATTGTCACGGATCCAACCCACATGCATACGCCCACAGCAACTAGCTAACCGAGGAGTGCACGTCCAGCCGTGACCAGGGGTGAGAGGGAATGAGGGGGACTTACTTTGCGTATATAAGACTGGTCATGATACACTTTCACAGCCCGCACTACCTCTGGCCACCACTAGAGGGAGACTCCACTCCAATCCAGCTGGCTGACCACACACACAGGCAGATATAAATCTTATATACAATCTGGTGCATGCTAAGGGTTGGGGAGCAGTCTAGCAATTGGCACACCCTTCTAGGATTCCTCCAGCTATCCTACAAGCTAGAACCCCGGTGGTAATCACTCTTCCACTGTCCACACACCCTCACACCAGACACACAACAAACGGTAGCTTGCCACCACCCAACAGTTTGTCCACAAACTGGTCTGCTGGGCCACCACACACACACAGATCTCTGTCTGGCAGATCTGCTACTTTACAATCTGCATGCAATCTGTCAACACGCAGTGCAATAGCATACAGATAGGCAATGAACTTGACCGAGCATATAAAGACACTGCAATACAATACAATCTCGCCAGAGATATCAGCCCAAGCTTAAGTACCCAGAAGTCACTTATTCATTTTATGTTTTAATATCCCAAAAGTGGCCAGTGCATAAAATATGTACAAAAGAAAAAACAGTTTCAGAAAGTACAAAAATACACACAATTGGCTATTGACTATAAAATAAAAGGGAATAAAAACAGAAATAAAACTTTTACCAAGAGTTATCCTGCGACAGGAGCAAGTCAGAGAAAGTCCGCAATTCACCAGTCAAATAGAACCGGCTCTGTACGAATCACACCATCCATATCTCAGGGTCCTCAATTTATTGAAATATGGACGTAGGCTGGACATTAGCCCTTGGCCAATCAACCCTGGGTGGTGTTCCTGTACCAGCCCACAGGACGGTCTGGGTACTGAAGTGCCCAAAGTCGATTGGACTAGGAACGGTTTGAATCACCAAGTCAGGGATAGAATTTCCGACACCAGCGCATCAGTCCGGTCGCGACAGTATCAATCGCTGTTCAGATGTCTCAATCAGACACCATATAACCGTTTTCTGCATTTCTCTGGGATTCTACAGCGGCTACAAATACAGTTTTACATGCAGATGTAGTCTACAGTGTGTCCAATCAGAAGGAAGGATTTTCATCACTCTGCAACTAATATTTTAGCTTAAATATTCCTTTGATCTGCTGATATAAGTAAGAGCTCCCAGACACATAGGAGCCACTCCTGGTCTCCTGCTGCTTCCTAAAGCTGAAATGGCTGGAGCTCTTCTTTTAGACTTCAAGAAGGTGGCAAAGTCTGACTACATAGGTGACAATGTTTTATTGGTATCCAGGTGTCACCTCCAGCCTGGAAGCTGCTCTGTCCTTTCAGATGCTAATTGGTGAACATATGTCTCTGACTGAACACTTAACTTATCTTTATCTTCATTTCTACTGATCACATCTAAACTACTCGAATCTTACATTTATGTTACACATAAAATGTGTAACTGCACTTTCAACACTTTCCACTTTTGAACCAGCTACTACTGAAAAGTTACCAAACTTTTCTCAGAAGCCCACCTAACCAATTGACTCTGGATCCTGTTCCCTTGCAATTACTACAGTCACGCTCTTCTTCTATCCTATGCTCACATCTCCAATCTCTTCCTATCAACTGGCACCTTCCTCTCCCCTTTAAAGCATGCACAGATCACCCCCATATTTAAAAAGTGCTCACTTGACCCTTCCAACCTGAACAACTTAAGACTGATCTCCTTGCTCC